TCAACCAGATGAGTTTTACTTATATCAACATCAAATCTAGTGAATCTTAGCACTAGAAAAAGCTAATCAGAAATCCAAGTTGTTATGACTATAGCAGAAAATTAAAACATGGCAAGACATATACTAAAACAAAGTGAATTGAGGCCGGAGCAACAGTACACCAGGTATGGTACTTGCTTTGCACGTGGGAACTCCGGCTTCAGTCCCTGGCACCACACAGGGTCCCCACTGAGTGCAGATAAAGGATTAAGCCCTGAACTCGGCTGGGTGTAAACCAAAAACAATCAAAATCATTTTCTCACTTATTATCCACTGAATGTTAAATTATACATTAATCAAGACATTGCTAAAGTATTTAAGTATAGTTGGTCAGCTGAATTTAAAATTCATAACATAATTCCATTTCTAAAAACCAAACTTATTTGTGTTTGATCATAAATGCATAAATTTATGCATCTTAGGGTTAATAAATAGATGGTACAAGAAATTTTCAACTCAAGGCCCTAGATTCCTAACAAGCAATTTTTAAAGTTAAATAAGCAACAACTCCTCTCCCCTGACTGGACTGTTGAGAGGACAAAAAAAAGTAAGGTTTTTCTAAGGTAGGACTTTAAAGAGACCAGAGGGGGGGAAAAAAACGAGGCCAGAGACAGGACTGGAACTAAGGCACATGCCTTGCATGTAGCAGACCCCAATTTAATCCCCAACACTACAAATAACCCTGCAAGCAACCATGGGAGTGACCCCTAAGCACAGAACAAGGATTAGACAGACCATGAGCACTGTGTCATCCAAAAACAAAAAAATTCCTCTAAGCAATTTTCTACCAACATTAAGTCCATCAATGCCTGTGTTTTAGTGCAACTGTATTTTGAAAGAAGAAAGTTTTTGGTAAACTGAATAAAGCTAAAACAAAATTAAGTCCTAAATCTACTGATCATTTTAAATATTCTTCAATCAAGATATACTATAAAGTATTTAAAATATCATGAAATACCAATCTGAGATAGCTGATTATCTCCAACTTACCTGGCTTATACCGTAGCTCTGTATCTAAGACCCCAGAAAGCACTTCCTCTATCTTCTGAACTATTTCTTCGTTTGGTAGATTCCTGGCAGAGGCAGCTGCATCACCTGCCTGGTTTCCTTCAATAGGTGTATTTGTTTCACCATTGAGCTGGCCCTCGTTCCTTCCACTTGACAAGGAAAGTTATCAAAATTAATATTTTCATGACAAATATTTGTAACTCAAAATTGATACATTTCACCATTTCCTATATTTTAGGTGATACTCTCTGCAAATTTAATTCCTGTACATTTACTTAGAGCTGGTGCAAGTTTGTGACAACACATACAAAAAAATTATTGGGACTGGAGCAAATGCTTTGCAAGCACAAGACATGTTTTGATCACTGGCAACAGCCTGCTGAGTACCTAGCAGGAAGTATCCACAGTCCCCAAATATGCTCTAAAACCAAAACCGAAAGTCTTAAAAATGAGTTTTTGGGCATTCTTTTAGTCAGGATACTCTCAGAAATTTAAGTATTTTGGGAATCATATGCACAGTGATCTCACAGGAGAAAAAAACATGAAGTTCACACTCACAGATTCAAAGAAAAATATTTGGCTTAACATTATGGATAGTAGATACTTTAGCCACAATAAAGCCACACCTGGCCATATTTAACAATCAACAGTATCAAGGAACATGAAAGTTAGCCACAGACAGTGCATAGAGTAATCTATATTTTCTGACCAGGCTTATATTAAGCTGTTATTGAAATACCATAAAGATTAAAATGATATATTTGCATAGCTTTTACTTGGACAGAGTAAAAATCCTGATATTGGAAAAACGTCCAGTGTTGTAAAAAATTGCACAAGAAAAGTGTCAATTCATGCATTTATAGTTAGTGAATAGATGGTCGAAGAAATTTTCAACTGGATCCAGGCCCTAAAACTCCTAACAAATTTATTAATAAAAATCATTTACCCTGGCATTTTTACTTTTTAACTCTAGAAAATTGTTTTGAAGGATATTCACATGGTGTTCAATTTAACTTGATCAAGCTACCTAACAACCTGAATGGCAAAACAAACTATCAGTAGCTGTTATTATTTGAATTTCTAATATAATAAATCATACGTTATTACTTCTAGTATCACAATATTCTATACAATCAAACTTACTTCCCAATTAATATAGAATTAATATTATTGATTTGATAATCAAGGAACAAGTTTGCTAAAGGTCAATTTATTAAAGAGGTGATATAGGCATTCAAAACCAGAGTTCGTTCATTTCAGCATCCTTACATATCATATAGAGGAAAAATATACTGAGTTTAGAATAAAATTATGTTCGCTGCATATTATTCGGAAACCAATCCTTTTAAAAATAAACTGAATTATCAATAGTCCTTAAATTTTAAGTTCTTGCTTTACTTTTCCCAAGCATTTACATGTACAACAAAACAACCTCCTACACACACACCAAAAAAAAAAAGTTTTTAAAAAGAGAAAACTACCCAAAATAGACACTCGGAAAAAGTAATGACCTCAAAGCTATCACAACGCTTATCAAAATAACAGTAAAGGGATGAAGTTTTATCCTTAAATGTCATTACATCCCAAAACAAAATTTTATCGAATCATAAACTGTTTCAAATACAAAAACTGACAAGCGACAGGGTTTTAATGATTTACCAAGTTAAAGAAAGCATACAAAATAATCAAATGCCACAATATGTGCATCTTCGCACAGGGAAAAAAAAACACCATTAATAACTGCATGGCGGGCCAGTTTCCTCATTTCTTCCTATTTGCTACAAAAATCTTAACACGGAGACTTAATTTTAAAAGAATAAAATTACAAGCGATAAAGAGCATCATTACGTATTTCATGCAACAATTAAGTTTTCCAGTAAAATTATACCCACTTAACATAGATCCGCTCAACACCCCACACACACACAAATAGCAAAGGCCAGTTTTTCCCAAAAAAACCAATAAGCCTCAATTCCCCTTTAAAAAAAAAAAATCGAGCCTGCTAAAACAATAATCCTAGCCGTCGACAGAGTACCTGAAAATTAACCCGCCCGTAATTTGACATAACGCACAAACGGCGGTTTCGGCTCCTTTTCGAATTCGGTCCTCAAATGGTTAAAAAATCACACGGAGCCCAAGAGCCTCGGGGCCGACCCCCGGCACCGGCTGCGAGCCCGGCACCGTGCGACGCCAGCCACTCCTCAACCTACCCGAAGCAGGCCTCGCCGGGGGTGGGGGCGCTCCCCGCCCCTTCCATTTCGGGGCGCCGAGGGGCATCGACGTCAGGTTTTCCACCCGGAATGGAGGGGGGCGTTTTTTAAAAAAATATACGTATATATTATATATATATAATAATGCCCAACGAGGAGGGTTAAGGGTGAGGAGAGGGCCGGGATGGCGAAGACGCGGCGCCCAGCTCCCCCGCCCGAACGAACCCCCCCCCCCGCCAAGTCCCACTCGACTTAGTTGCGAAATTTTAAAAAAAATATTTTTTAAAAACTAAAATTAAAAAAATTAAAAATAATAACAAAAATTAAAATCCCGACTTCATCCCAGCTGCCTTCCGGACCCTTTCCGGAGCGCAGGACCTCCACGCGAGCCGCGGCGGATTGCTCGGCCATTCGAATGCCGCCCGGGGACAGCGCCCGCGGACGACCGCCACCCCCCCCCCCCGCACCGCCGCCGCCGCCGCCCCCGCACCACACAACCACCTCCCCCTCCCCAACCTCCCGAGCCCGCAAAAAAAAAAAAAATTAAGCGAATTGAAGATTTCTACCCCCCACCCCCACCCCACCCCCAGAAACGGCCGTTAGAGACCCTTTCCGGGCCGAGGCACCGGCCGGCGAGATCGGCGGAGGCGGAGAGGGGGAGGGGACGCGGCGGCGGCGGCGGCGGGGCCGAGGCAGGAACTAGGCCCGTCCCCGGCGGGCGGCGAGAGGCCTACCCGCGGCTCCCGAGCGAGGGGGCGAGCAAGCGGGGGACACGGGGCGGGGGTGGGGGGAGCAGCTTAACCCGGTTCAACAAGAGAGAGTCTTGGGTTACCTCGGAAATGGGCGAAGTTCTTCTCCGGGAAGAGAGGGAGCGGATGGTGGGGGGGGAGGGAGGGAAGGCCGGAAAATGGATCCCAGGCCCAGGCGGGGCAGTAGCGGGGCCTGAGGCGAGGAACGACGGCGTCGCTGAAGAAAGATGCCACGGAAGGCTATCTGCGACCCTAACGGCCCCTTAGGAGCAGAAGAGTCTGGGAAACGTTTACCTGGAAAGTTCTTGCTGTATTTCCCGGAATTTACTGACCACGAAAGACCTAAAAATCTGCTCGATGTTGGTCGCCATGGCGTCCGCTCCGTTCTCTCAACTCCTCCTCGCTAGTCCTCCAGGCTCCCAGCATGCCCCGGAAGGAGGTGCCGCGGCCAATTCCGTCTCTCGTCGTCCTGATTGGCTCTGGGAGGAGCGTCCCGGGCGGCACGCTCCGCCGTCCAGCCAATCAGCGCGCACGGCCCCGCCCACCTCAGGAGCTGCGGGGGGGAGAGCTGCTGACGTTTGCGCCGCGCACGACTCGGCCGCCATGTTAGTGACTGACGCAGACGCCATTACAGGAGAAGTCTCTCGAGACTACCGTGCCTGCTCGCACTGTGGCCCGTCCGCGGCAGGATTGGGGAGGCTTAAAGAGGATGACACGAGGCGTCCTGGGAAAAGCACCCACGAGGAGTGGGAGCGAGATGGGTTCCCCCACGCAGACAGGGCCTCCCACATGCCCGGGTGGCGCCGAGCGGTTTCATCAGGGGAGGTTACATCCGGGAACCAAGACATAACGCCCCACCCCCTCCCCAGTGACGAGACTGTGTACGACAACGGTTTTTATTCCCCCCCATCCCTATTTCTCCAATGGCATCCTGTTATCGGTTTTATTTTGGCTTCTAAATCATATACCGGAGGACTCGAGCCCCTCTGTGTCCAATGCCTGATGTTAATAGGGTCGCCAGGCTTGTCTCGAGACATGGGGGCGGTAGCTGCTCCGTTTGGAAACACAAATTTAGCCAAGTGAGTTCGGCGTTGGACGCTCCCCTCCCTAGCAGCCCAGGAGGCTCTCGCGGGAGGAGCGGAAGGCGTCCCGCCGTATCCGATCGTTCAATGTTAAATCAAAAACCGCGACTGAGGGGTGGGTCCCTTGACGGGTGGAGAGCGGGCATGAGGGCCGCCGCGCAGGAGAGCGGGAAGGGAGGGGGTAGAAGAGGAGCAGGCAAATGCTAAGCCAATGGAGAGGGGGCTTCTGGGCGGGGTCTCAGACAAACTTCCGGCGCGCCACGGGATCGCTGCGCGCTCTGGGAGCGGCTGCGGACCTCGAGGGCCGCTGGTGTCGGTGCGTAAGACCCTTTCGCTCCCCAGTCGAGTCCCACGTGTGCTCGGGTTTGGGAACTGAAGCGCCGACATGGAGTGAACGTGTCGGGACGGGGTGTGGTGTACGGATGTGGGACCTTCCCCTGACTTCTCAGTGCTGCGGGTGGAGGGGTGGCCATGTGCTTTTTCACTTCGCTGAAGTTTGCATTGGGTCTTTGCACTCGTTCATGCTTGGCCACGTTGCCCGGGTCTTTTCGTGTCCTTGATCTTTTGGTCTGGTAACTTGCTAGGGGGCTATCACAATTACATATTTTTATCGGGTGCACCCCCTTATTCTCCGATGCGTTGCGTTTAGTTCACTTTTGTGACTGGGGCCTAATTTTACATTTATTTTCCCTACCAAATCGTTTGAAATGGTATTAAGGGACCGGAGGGAGGGTCCAGAGATGTAGGCTTTTGCTTTGCTTTCAGCGGACACTTTTATCCCGGGCACTGCATATAATTACCCACCCACACCCACCCAGCACCGCCAACAGTTATCTTGGGCCCCCTCCCCAGTGGAATTATTTTGGCCGTCTCAGATTCTTATAAATTGTAAGTTATTCTTATAGGGCCTTGATATCCAGGACAGTTGTTTCTCAAGGCATCCCGACTAAGAAGGGGCAGAATTTCAACCCACACTTAGGCAGTGTCTTGAAGCTGAGTCCTCCTAGCCCTCCCCCTCGGTGTGGATTCCCTTTTGTTAAGACCAAATGCTGTTTCAGCGACCAACGAGAGTAATTTCTCTCTCCTCAAATTGTCAGTGATCGCTGTCTCTTGAATTTTTGTTGACCGTATATTCCACATTTGAAACCGAGTCCTGATGACCTCTCAACCCCACGTGTTTCCTTTGGATTGATTTCCCATTCTGCACGTGGCTCAGGACCTCAGGTCTTATTGGTAGCTTGGTGTGCAGGGTCAAACGGCTAGGCTGATGGAGAGTGGGGGAATCATAGGGTGCTCAGATGTTTCCTGCAAGACAAATGCTTTAACCCTATATCATGTCTAATCTGGGCATGTTCTTTCATCTGTTAAGGTAAAGGGAAGAGTATTTTTCAGTTCTTGACTTACAGTACATTGGCTAGGGTGCTTGCTTTGTTTGCTGCCCATCCTAGTTCAATCCCCAGCACCCCATAGGGCCCCTCGATCCCCACCAGGAGTGATTCTTGAATGCAGAACCAGGAGTGACCCCAGAGGATCACAGAGTGTGACTCCCAAAAAAGTTTATCCACTTAACAAGGCTAGCTTCTCAAAAAAAAAAAATTACGAATTTCAGTGTTTTTTTTTTTTAGTGTGATTTCTGTATAATTAAATGCCTTTGGAAACTAGTAAATTTTGTATTCCTGGGACCAGAGAGACAGTACAGAGCTTAAGATTCTTGCCTTGCATGTAACTACTTTGGATCTTGTTCCCCCATTACAGTAAACAGCCCCCTGGGCCCAGCCAGAGATAGGACATGGCCCCAAAACTAAAATTGTTAATTCCACTGTTTTTTTTTCTTTTCCCTATTAGAAATTTTTTATCTCTAAAGTATGTTTGTCCAAGGTAATAAAATATGACCTATTAGCCTTTACTACCGAGTATCAAATGGTACTAATAGTTTATAAATTTCTTTTTAATAATCCTCCCAAGGTGAGGAATCCCTTAAAAATTGGGAAGAAATTAAATTACAGCCAGTAGGAGCCCTGCTCAGCATCAGTTGAGCAGAACTCAAGAAGGACAAATTGAGGAGTGATTTTGGTGTTCTCTGCCACTTACCAAACATTTGTAACTTAAATCAGGGGTCAGAAACTGAGCGCTCAGGTGCAAATTGTTCCTGTCCCATTTTTTTTCGATATAGCTCCCCAAAGAAGAGTGGATTTTGTTTCATGAAATGATGGGGGCTGGGTGAAACATGTTTTAATGTCATGAAATTGGTAGTTTTTTCCTTCTTTTTTGGGGGGTCATACCCGGCTATGCACAGTGGTTACTCCTGGCTTTACACTCAGGAATTACTCCTGGTGGTACTCGGACCATATGGGATTCTGGGAATCGAACCCGGGTCAGCCGCGTGCAATACAGACGCCCTACCTGCTGTGTTACCACTCCAGTCCCCAGTAAAGTTCATTTTATGGTGACCCTAAAATGATTTTTTTAATTGAAAAACATCCCTGCTTATTTTTTACACATCTCTGAAGTTTTCTATTGTTTAGATCAGCCCAAAAAGAGTAGTTGTGTATAGGAACCTTGTTAATTTTCCCCCCATTCCATAAGAAAGTAGATCTAGTCTGCCCTGCCCCACCTCCCTATTTCATTGGTACAGTGTTTTTATGGGAGCCACCCTGGGAGGTGAATAGTGTTCAGAGTCCAGGACTTGAACCAAGGAGCCCCATTAGAGCCGAATTTCTCACCCTCTACTTCATTTTTATTTTATTTTGATGGACTGTGCTCCAGACTTACTCCTGGCTTTATAAAGCTCAGGGATCATTCCTGGTCTTGCTCGGGACCCTACGCAGAGCCCAGGATTGAACTATGGGTTGGTCATAGCCCCGGATTTATCTCTGCCCTCTACCTCACTTTTAAATACCACCCTAGGGCTGAAGCCAAAGCTTAATGGAATAGGTGCATGCTTTGTCTGTGAGCGGATCTGGTTCTAAATCCCAGCACCACAGGGTCCATTGGAGCTGCCAGCCGCAACTCCCAGCATAAAGGCAGGTGTGGATAGAGCTCTTCGGGTATGCATCCTGATTTTTTACAAACGAACTATGGACTTCATGTGATGGCAATTGGCTACTCCTTTAAAAATCATAATTTGAGAGGGAGGGGCTTCCGAGCAGTGCTCAAGGCTCCCACCAGGTTGGTAATACTCCACCAACCTGGCCATTGTTCTAGGGCAGGACCCCAGGAGGCACTGCTCCATTGATAATTTGCCAGGGACATCTGGGCCACCCCAGCCGATCAGGGGCCTCCAGCACTGCACCTGGACATACTGTCGGGAACCAAACCCATTATACTAGCTTCTGGCCCAGAAATCATTTCAAAATATATGCATTCTAAAATGAATCAACTCTGGGGTTTTGGTTTATTTTTCTCTGAAGTTTTCCTTTTTGTCTTGAATTCTTGTTTTGCAGACACAAATGGCAGCCCGAGTCCTTGTAATTGGCAATGGAGGAAGAGAGCATGCACTGGCTTGGAAACTTGCACAGTCTAACCATGTCCAGCAAGTGTTGGTTGCCCCAGGAAATGCAGGCACTGCCTGTGACATGAAGATCTCAAACACTGGTGAGCATGTTTCTGAGAGGGAAGCCCTGGCCCAAATGGACTGGTAGACTGTTTTAGAAGGTTGTTCTCTATGAGTTAATTGCGATTCAGATTTAAATGATCTTTGTTACCTTGTTTGAATGCTTGAGAATACTTATTGAATGGGCTGAGGTGATAGCACAGCTGTAGGGCGTTTGCCTTGCCTGTTGCCGGCCCTGGCTGAGCCAGGTTGGATTTCTCCTCCCCTCTCGGAGAGCCCGGCAAGCTACTGAGAGGATCTCACCCGCACAGCAAAGCCTGTCAAGCTACCCCTGACGAATTCAATATGCCAAATACAGTAACAAGTCTCACGATGGAGATGTTACTGCGCCCACTCAAGCAAATCAGTGAAAAAGGGAGGACAGTGCAGTGCAGTGCTACTTATTTGAATACTTTTCCCAAGGCATCTTTTAAATTTGAGGGCCAAAGTGGTAGCACAGCAGGTGGGGCACAAGGCAGACCCAGGTTCAATGTCCAGTATCCCATATGGTCCCCTGAGCACCGCCAGGAGAAATTCTGAGTGCAGAGCCAAGAATAACCCCTGAGCATTGCCAGGTGTGACCCAGAAAGACCCCCCCAAAAAATGTTTTAAATTGTTCTTTAGAATGTGGCAGTTCTTAGGGAGGGAAGGGGATTCACACCTGGTTATACTCAGGGGTTATTCCTGGCTTCTGGCTCTGCACTCAGGAATCACTCCTGGCGGTGCTCAGGGTCCCATAATGGGATGCTGAACCAGGGTCGGCTGCACTCAAGGCAAATACCCTGAACGATCACTCCCGCCTCCAAAATCTCTTTTTTTTTTTTTTTTTTTTTTGGCTTTTTAGCTTTTTGGGTCACAGCCGGCAATGCCTAGGAGTTACTCCTGGCTCTGCACTCAGAAATCACTCCTGGAGAGCTGGGGGAACCATATGGGATGCCAGGGATTGAACCTGGGCCTGCCGTGTGCAAGGCAAACACCCTACACACCATACTATCCCTCCACCTGAACGTGACAGTTCTTAAACTACAAAACGCTGAGTTGAAATGCTCCTGTCTGGTATGGATTAAAGGCTTTTATTTGTTTGTTTTGTTTTGAAGTCACACCCAGCAATGCTCAGGTATTACTCCTAACTCTGCACTCAGAAGTCATACAGGATGCCAGGGATTGAGCCCGTGTTGACTGCATTTAAGGCAAACACCTTACCCACTGTCTTCTCTCTCTCTGGCCCCTGGATTAAGGGCATTGTGATCTGTGCTTCTGGAGGTGAAAAGTTGAGCAGTGCTGTTAAATGTAAGCTGTGGCACGTTCAATTTCAGAATAGACCTCAGCCATTATTGCTCCACTGTGAAAATGGTGGATAGGACTGTATTAGATAATAGACTGTGTTAAGCTCTTAAGTGGCTTTCCTTAGTACTTAGAATAAGACTCAAACTCTGTAACATGCCTTAAGCCCTTTGTGCTTGCCAGAGAGATTGCTCAAAGGCCAATGCACCTGCTTTGCCTGCCTAGCACCATATGGTCCTTCGAAGTTCAAGCCAGGAATAACCCCTGAGTGTACCACTGCAGCCAACTAACCAAGAACAAAGTCTTTTGTGACCTGGTTTCTCTCTGCATTTCTCACTGGGTCTTTTTAATTTTTAGCATTTGTTTTGTTTTCACTGCTTTTTCCGTGCAGTTTCCCAAACGCAGTGGCCTTGGACTTTGTACCCACTTAGCATCACTGACTCCCTATCAAGTCAAGCTTCAGCATATAAGGCTTTTAGTTGTTTGGTTTTAGTTTGGTGGCCAAACCTAGCCATGTTTAGGGCTTATTCCTGGTTCTGCAATCGAGGGATCACTTCTGACAAGCTCGGGGTACTGTGTGAGAGTGCCGGGGATTGAGCCTAGGTCAGTCATTTTCAAGGCAAGCACCTTACCCACGGCACTGTCTCTCTAGTCCCAGCATAGAAGGTCTTTGTGCTTTGTTTTTTGGGGGGGGCCACACCGGGTGGTGCTCAGGGCTTACTACTGGCTCTGCACTCAGGGATCATTCGTGGTGGGGCACAGGGAAACATATTGGGTGCTGGGGATCAAATGCAGTTCAGCCCTGTGCAATGCAAGTGCCCTGCCCCTGCACTGTCACTCCAGCCCTGCATATAAGATCTTGAGCAGAGAGATAGTACAGTGGGTAGGGTGCCTGCCTTCATGTGACTAACCTGGCTTTTATCCCCAACACGTCCCCTTAGCATCATCAATAGTGATCCCTAAGCACTGGCAAAATAAAACAAAGAAACAAAATAGAGGTCTCGGCCAGAGTCTAGTAAGTACAGTGTGTAGGATGTCATCTGCCTTGCCTGTGATCAGCCTTGTTTCAGTCAATCTGTGTTCTCTGAACACTACCAGGAAGAAATACTGAGTGCAGATCCAGGAGTAAATCCTGAGCACTGCTGGGGGTGGCATAAACGCACGCACGCACCAGGCCCTTGTGTCTAGGTAAAGTATGCCCTCCCCCATTTGTTTGATTTAGATCATGGCCACTGCATTTACTTCTCTGTCTCCCATATTCCTCCCCTCTTAGAATGTCAGCTCTGAAGTGTAAGCTCTAGCTGGGCATGGGATTCTGCTATCTTCCTTTGCCTTGTACGCATTCTGCCTACGTGCGTGCGATATTTAGGGAGAGAACATAAACGCAAGTTACTAACTAGAAAAAAAGGACACATGTTGAACCAAGACTGATAATATGAGATAAATCAGACAATGTGCGCTTCTCTGGGAGTGAAGAATTGTGTCTTTTTTGTGCAGAGCTGCTTGGCTCTGCAGAGTCCCATTATGTTCCTGACACAAACCTAGAATGCTGTTTCCATCCCTGATCCCACTCCATCGGTGATTGTGGATTGAGTACTCCACATTCTCTGCCCTTGTCCCCAAATGCATCACAAATAGCACGTGTGTTGCAAGACTTGGCCCAGCTTTCCTGTGGAGCATTTAGCATTTAGAACCAATTGGTCCTGTTGCTAATTTATATCTTAGAACTCTTATCAAGAAAGAAAAAAAATTTTAAGTTGAACAGATTTTATTTGGAGGGTTTTGAAGGTATGGAGGGGAAGGAGAGACAGAGTGTGTATAACTCATTCACGAGAGAGGGCGGGCTTCTCCGAGGGTGGAGATAGCCCCTATACACATCCCAGCATTAGATATGAAAGCATGAAAATACACGTCTCAAGAGGGGAGATGCAGGCAACATATGTTCTCGGGCAGCATATGTGCCAAGAAAGAAAATTTACCAGGCTCTATGTAAGAGGACAAAGCTGGGTCTGAAAAATGATTCATTTCATAGGTTACCTATCTTTGCATGGGCCCAGGAGATGGTACAGAGACACTTGTTTTGCCTGTGGGCTGCCAGGGATCTAACCTTGTCTGCTGCAAGTATAACAAGCACCCTGCCTGTTTTTTTATTTTTGTTTGTTTTGTGTGTGGATGTGAAGCAAACTAGTTTTTATTGAAACTTTTTTAGAAAAATGTGAGGGGGGAGGAACACAGGCTTGAAGAGCAAGCCATCAGCCCCTATTCTGTGTTTTTTGTTTACCAATCACACTGGTGAAATGAACAGCATGATCTAAATGTTGGGGACTTTTTGAGACGCTTACTATATATATATATTTTTTTTTTTTTTAATTGAGGGGTTAGTCCTGGCTCTGCACTTAGGAAATACTCCTGGTGGGGCGGGATCAAGGGGGCGGACTATATGGGATGCTGGGATTTGAACCCAGATCAGCCTCGTGCAAGGCAAGTGCCATACTCACTGTACTATGGCTCTGGCCCCCGCTTAACCAGAATTTTCACCAAATGACTACAGTGATAACAAACAACTGAGCTTTCTGGTTTTCCTGATGCACGCTGTTATGGAATTCCCATGGTAAAACTGATCTGTGCCAAGAAAAGAAAACCAGCAGCACGTAGTCCTTGATCATAACAAGTACTAGTTGCTAGTTTCCATGAAGGATGTCTTTGTGAGTTGGGTATGTTTCTCTCTCCTGTTCACAGCTGTCTCAGTAAATGACCACGCTTCCCTGGCTCAGTTCTGCAAAGATGAGAAGATTGATCTGGTGGTGGTTGGACCAGAGGCACCTCTGGCTGCTGGTAAAGTCCTTGCTTATATGTATATGTTATCAATATATGTAGTAGCAATTTCTAATCCAGTTACGTTCCAAAGTATCGTGGTCGTTGGTACAGTATATGCAGTACCATTGTCTAACCCAGTTATATCCCAAAGAACATGCATTACTTAGAGCTCATTTATTCCCATCCATTTTAGATGCAGATTTTTACATAGTATTTTTACATAGTATTACATTAGAAATGGGACTTAAACCCTTTTGAAATGGATGAATCCTAGATTTTCTTTTTTCCCCATGCTTTGGTACAGTTAAAAATAAAATTTGTAGGCATAGGAAAAGTAGAATTTATTCTACTGTCTAATCAACTTAATGGTCCGTATAGTTCAATATAACATACAACTTTTGTTTAATTGAAACCATGTGTTAGTAGCTTTTTTTTTTTTTAAGAAATTTTCTAAACAAGTGACTTATCTGGTTCTGTTAACGATGCACAGCTGTAAAGAGGCTGAACACCTCTGCTGTGAGCCGCATGTTGGGGGCGCAAATGTCTCTGCCCAGAACCAGGCCTGTGTGCAGTCCTGCATTCAAGTCACAGTGCTTCCCAGAAGAGCACATGAGCTGGGGTGATTCTTACAGCCTGAACATCGGGGGTCCCTGGCAAGGGAGTAAATTATTTTAAAACAATAAGAAAACATGAGGCCAGGGAATTAGTACAGGTACTTGCTTTGTTAGACCCCACTGATGCCTGTTCAAATCCCCAGCACCCCCTATGATCCCACTGCCAGGGGTCACTACTGACCACAGAACCAGGAATAGCCCCTGAGTGCCACCTGGTGTATGTGTCTCCTCCCCCACCCCACCAAAAAAAATTAAAAAGAGTGAAATCATGCAAAGTTTATTCTCTGCCATCGATTACCTGCATTTTTTCAGTGTCGATTTTAGTCTCGTCCCAAATTCCCTTGAAAATTCAAATTTTTGATGGACCATTTCCTGCCGGGACCTTGGCTCACCGTGGCTGCTTGTCTCTCTGTCCCTAGGAATTGTTGGGAATCTGACCACTGCAGGAGTTCGATGCTTTGGCCCTACAGCAGAAGCAGCTCAATTAGAATCCAGCAAAAAGTTTGCCAAAGAGTTTATGGACCGACATGGCATCCCAACTGCACGGTGGAGAGCCTTCACCAGAGTGGAAGATGCCTGCAACTTCGTTATGAGGTATGCAGAAGACTACCTGGAGGATAGAGGTTTTGTTATAAGAAACGGGGCGTGTGTGCATGTGGCCAGGCATCGAACCCTGGGCCTCACACATGCTAGGCATACCTTTTTTTATGGTGAAAACAAATTGGGTTTAGGATTAGCCTGCTGGACTGTTTAGATGATCCCAGTTTTGTTGGCAGCATCCAAGGCGTCATAATCAGGAGCCTGCCTAACATACGCCTTTTTCTCTCCATCAGGCCTAATCAGGGTGTTGACCTTGGCTACATCAATGTCATAGAGCTTGTTTAATCTGGTGCTTGTTGGCCTTGACGTCCACAATGAACACAAGTGTGTTGTTGTCTTCTATCTTCTTCATGGCTGACTCAGTAGTCAGAGGAAACTTGATGGTGGCATAATGGTCAAGCTTGTTTCTCCTGGGGGCACTCTTCTCAGGGTATTTGAGTTGCCGTCTCAGCATAAACGTAGCATTTTGTATCTTTGAAAGGTGGATGACGTGCAGCTCTTTTCTTTTTCTGGTTGTGGACGCCTTTCAGCACTGCTTTCTTGGCCTTCAAAGCTTTGGCTTTGGCTTCAACTTTGGGAGAGGCAGGGGCTTCCTTGGCTTTCAGCGCCATCTTCATAAAAAGGCTGCTGGGTACACTTGACTGCAGAGTCATAAGCCTGGACCGTACCTGCAGGTCACTCTTGTGTCGCAACTTTATGGAAAGCAACTGATAGTGTAATGCTGTGTTTTTCCAACATCACAGTAAAGTGGCATTTTAAACAATGTAATTGCACAGTCGTGCCCTTGTAGAAAGAATGAATTACTTAAATATTTATTACTTGCATTTTCTAGGGGGGAAGTATATTTGGTTCTGTAGCCAGGCATTTCACAGCCTAATTGACAGAGTCAGTGGCCTTTTAAAACATAACCATATTTCATTAATAACTAAGGAGAGGAAAGAATCACGTCTTGGCATTCTGCTACTGCTCTTGACTTTGAATCTCAAACATTCTTTGTTCTGTTTTATAGAAAATCTTGAGCAGTTGAATGTTGGTAGATATGTGACTTTGTCCCTTCTGTTGACATGTCTCCCTGTTAAGTAGTGTAAGTGCCTTTTAGTTGGTACAGTTTCATTCTTCATCTTACAGGACTTCTTAGACACTTAACATTATTATTTCCTAGTCACCAGATGCCTTCTGTAAGTAATAAATTTGTTAGTTACTTACACTCTTCAGATTTCTAGTCTCATCCCAGTCCCTATGAAGAATTTCTAGAAGTGGTCTTTGTCCAGGCTTGTATTGGACTCCCATGGCTACATCTTTCACTTGAATGCAAATGCAGTTCACTGCTTAGTGTTTTAAAGATCACTCCATGTTTGCTAGGTGCAACTGGGGTTTTTTTTGTTTTGGTTTGGTTTTCATAATTTAATTTTTTTTCTTATATTTATTTATTGAATCACTGTGGGAAAAGTCACAAAGCTTTCAAATTTAAGTCTCGGTCATACAATGATCAAATACCTTTCCCTTCAGTACTCATTTTTCACCACCAAGAACCCCAATATGCCCCCCTCCCAACCCTACCAATGCCTGTGAGGCAGATGATTTCCACTCTTCTCTACATTAATTACATTCATTATTTCGACAAAAGATGCACCATTATTGTTTAGAATTCCCCCCCCAACAATCAGAATTGCTGAAAAGGCATTGTGAAATACTTTGTTTTCTATAGCTGGTTCACGACGACCATCCTGTTATTCGAGCAGGCCCCAGTAACGTCTCCTTCATCCTAGCCCTGAGATTTTTAAGAAAGTTCTATATTCAGGCTCTTTAGGAGAATGAGACCCATCATTGTTACTGGTATTTGGCATATTGGGTACGCCACGGGGAGTTTGCCAGACTCTGCCGTGTGGGCAGGTTACATTTGGTAGCCTGCCAGTTTGTCCAAAGTAGAAATGAGATAATAAGATGTCGCGCAGCACGGTTCCGGGAACTGGTTTTTATAGTCTCTGAGTCTTGGCCGTTGATGGAATTACACGGCGCCAGGGGGCCAGTTGGTGGGTGTGACCCCCACCTACTGGAATTCGGAGGATCTGGGTAGAGGATGCTCAGCCCCAATCCGAGTAGGCTTGGAGATCTCGGTCCCGGGACCCGCTTGCCTTTGTTCCTCTGCCGGTACCTTCAGGTGTGCGGAAAGTGGTCTCAGCATGGTGGTGGCTGGTCCTAGAGGTCTTCGACTGCCAGAGCCCTGGTCGGGGCGGGGAGGAAAGCTCAACCCGCTCCCCTCCAAGGGGCCCCGGCAAGAACAGCCAGGCGCGGGGGGGCAGGAGACTGCACTGTTCTCTTCCGGGAGCTAGTTTTTATAGCTGGTTATGAGAATCATATAATGATTTGGCATTTCTGCAAAGAGCCAGATAATTACGAGATTGGTTTCTGTGCGTCTGGTGTTATGGCTGTGCCGGAGAGCCACTGGTGGGGGGCAGCTCATGACCTCGGTAGGGCGTGAAGGACGAGCTGTTACCGCCTCCCTTCCCATGAGACTGCAGTTGCCCCCGCCACTGCCGGCTCATACCTGGCTTTCCTATAAGCTCTGAGACGGCAGCCACCTTGCTGCTGGGGGGGCAGGGGGGGAGGCGGAAGGGAGCAACACCCTTTCCCTCCGGGGAGGCATGGTCCCATAGTTTAACGCATGGACCATTCACTTTCCTGCCTCTAGAGCCATGGCTGTGCCAGAGAGCGGCTCGTGGGAGGCAACTCGTGACCTCGGTAGAGGTGCAACTGTTTTATTTTTCAAAGCTTTCGCCTTTGTAAGACCTCGCCTGGAGAAAGAGCAAAATTGGTCTACAGTAAGATCGAAACAAAAGGGGGGAAATCTTGGCAGCAAAACAATATACTGGAAGTGAATGACTCAAAAGGGTGCAGTTGCGGCGTGTATCTTTCTACTCTCCAGTTCTTGCTGAGCATACACCAGCTACTTAGCCCTTTTCCACGTTTAAGTTGGGGGATTTATTGGGGACTGACTTTTGCTTCGTCTTAACAGCGCAGACTTCCCTGCTTTGGTTGTGAAGGCCAGTGGTCTTGCAGCTGGGAAAGGGGTGATCGTTGCAAAGAGCAAAGAGGAGGCCTGCAAGGCAGTGCGGGAAATTATGCAGGTAGGTTGATTCCCTGCAGAAGCCACTTTTCTCTGAAAATGTCACTTTGAAGTCTGCACAATCTCCCTCAACATAAGCCTTTCCTCGCAGTCACAAAAGCAAGTTACTGTTCGTAAGACCATGTATGATCATTAGTCTCAGTAAGAGGACTGCAGCCAAGCAATGCTGAGTGCTAACTCGTGAGTCTGTTCTTTTGAAGTGAGTTCTGGCACCCGTCTTGTCTGCTGCTGAGAAAATCTGCACACTGTAGGGCAGACCAGTTCTCAGCCCGTCAGAAGCACACAGGTATTTGTCCCGGGCCTAAGAGATGTGAAATAATTAATACACTTGACATATTCTTTTCATCTTGGTTGCTGGGAATCACACACACAAACCTTGGAGAAATTTATTTTCACAGGCAGCTTTTAGGATAATTAGGGGCTGCCAGCAGAACTGTGACCAGAACTTGTAATAAGGTGGTGGTCAACATATTTTTCCGTTACCTAATTTGAAACTGCAGAACAGAATCCCCAGGAGACTCTGGGTGTGGTGTTGGTCTCAGGCACCACTGCTAGCCCGCTCTGTCACTGTCATCTTCAGATAGGAGCCATTCATCTGCTCCTTTAAGACTTCAGTGTGGGAAAGGGAACTTAAGATGCTATGGTGTTGGTTCCTGCTACAAATGATGTGAAACGACAATAGGTAATTAAAACAGTAAACTTTTTTTTCCCCATAATGTACCCTAAGGACAAAGCCTTTGGAGCTGCTGGAGAAACGGTTGTCATTGAAGAGCTGCTTACAGGAGAAGAGGTGTCTGTACGTACACAGAGGATAAGGCACTAATACCCCTCTGAGCTCCCAGCTGGCGGGGACTGAAGACTTCTTAAGAACATCAGCCCCAGGGAGGGGAGGTAGCTTTGGAATAAGGTTCTGGGGGGGGGGGTCCCTGGCCCCACAGAAGCAGCAACCCCAGCGGTGCCAAATGAATTTGTGATGCATGTGGTATTTGGGGTACCAGTGGAAGCAGTACACCATGTATCAGTAAGGATCTTTTTTTTTTAGTATTTAAAGTTGGGTCAGGGGAGCACTTTACTTTGAGATTTCGCTTGGTTTGTTTTCCTATCCCAGCTCAAAATTTACGGTCTCTTGGGACCAAGGACAAGACTTAGCAGGAGGGCACATGCCTGACCTGGGTGAAATCCTGGGTTTGGTCCCCAGCCCCACCAAAATGGGGGGTGTGACTGTAAAACCTTCCACTTCTAAATATAGACTGCGCAGGGCTGTATGTATTTTGACTTCTTGGTTTAAAGAAAAGGGGGAACTGAGTGATAGTAAGATGTGGTAAGGCACCCCATATGGTGCTCTGTACCCCACCAGAGTCAACCCTGAGCATCCCTGGACTAGGCCCCCAAACCAAAATATTCAAAAAGTGAGAAAGAGAAAGCAAGAAAGCCTTTAAGAAGGAAAAGGTGCATCTGCCCGCAACTGTGTTTCGGGTAAACAGTCTGTTTTGTGTTTTCCGCAGTGTCTGTGCTTCACCGATGGGAGGACTGTGGCCCCCATGCCCCCCGCCCAGGATCATAAGCGGCTGCTGGAGGGGGACCAGGGCCCCAACACTGGGGGCATGGGAGCCTACTGCCCAGCTCCTCAGGTACTCCCTGCTGTGTGAATGTGAGGTTTCTCCAAGTTCAATCATTTAAAGCACTTATTCCATCTCGGGGCGTGGACTGTTTCATTTGTACTTGGGGCAGTGCTTAGAAGACAGTATTTCAGATGCCAGTTGGGGCGTCATTGTCGTCTCTTCCCTAGGTTCCTAAGAGTCTGTTACTAATGATTGAAAACAACATCCTGCAGAGGACGGTGGATGGAATGCGTGAGGAGGCCATGCCCTACACGGGTAAGCACAGGCCGTGGGGCCAGGGGCGCCACAGAGTCCCAACACCCCTGGGACAAACCTTCCCCATTGTCACCTCTTTATTTGTTTGAGCTATCCTAGGCAGTAGTCAGGGCTTTCTGCCGGCTCTGTGCTCAGGGGTCACTCTTGGCAAGCGCTCTGGGAACCCCACATGGTGCCAGAGATCGAATCTGCATCGGCCATGGGTATACGGGTATGACGAGTGCTCTACCTGCTGTACTAGTGCTCTGAAACCTCTTTTTTTTTTTTTAATGGCGGGTAGGGGGAGAGGGGTATCATATCTGGCTGTGCTCAGGGGTCTCCTAGCAGGCTTGGAGTAACATGGGATGCCAGGGATCGAACCCAGTTTGGCTGTATGCAGGGCTAACACCTACCCATTATACTGTCACTCCAGCCCCCTACATTATTATCAGCATTGTAATGTTACGGTTGTTCCGGAAGTTTAGACGTGTTTGTTCTCATTTTCTCGGTTCTAATATATTGATTGTAAATTGCCTCTTTTTTTGTTGTCTTTGTTTTGTTTTTTCCTCTTTGAACATAGGTATTCTCTATGCTGGCATAATGCTGACCAAGGATGGACCCAAAGTTCTGGAATTTAATTGTCGATTTGGTGATCCAGAGTGTCAAGTGAGTGATAATTTTTAAAAAATGCAGTATAGGGGTGGAGCAATAACAGAGCTGATTAAGCCGCTTGCCTTGCACACAGCCTCCCCAGGTTTCATTCCCCAGGTCCCCATATGGTCCCTGGGCACAGCCAGGTGTGACCCAAAAGGAAAGAAAGAAAATACAAATCATACTTTCTAGAAGGTGTCCAGGTTTTTGTTTTGCTTTGGGTGGCACCAGGGCTCCAACCCCGAGCCTCACTCATGAAGGCAAGTGCTCAACATCTGAGCTACATCTCTGGCCCCAAATTCTAGGTAGATTTTTGTGGTTTTTTTTGTTTGGGGGCCACACCTGGCAATGCTCAGGGGTTATTCCCGGCTCTGCAATCAGGATTCACTCCTGGCAGTGCCCCGGGGACCATATGGGATTCCGGTGAATCAAATCTGGGTTGGCCACATGCAAGGCAAACACCATACCTGCTGTACTATCGCCCCTGCCCAATTCTTTAGGTTGTTTTAACCTCGGAATTGCTGGGCCTTGAAATAGTGTCATCCCTTTGGTCCCTTGGGTACCACACCTGCACAATCAGCCCAGCGCTGGTGTGAATACACCTGAGCACAGGTGAGGCCTCAGGTGACTGTGACTATGGAACATGCAATTTGTTCATGCTCTTTGCATTGTTCTAAGTATTCTAAGTAACTTGGAGAGGGCGAATGTGCTTTGCCATTTTATAGACGGATTTGAGCAGCTGCCATCCTTGGGATGTTGCTTGGGGAACTCAGAGGATCCCTGAGAAAGCCGGAAACAACCCAGGGGAGGGGCGGTGCATGCAGCTTCTGAGAGGGAAGCTGAGCTTGCATCTCAGTTGTCGCCTGATGACGTGTTCCCAGGTGATCCTGCCACTTCTGCAGAGTGACCTGTATGAAGTGATCCAGTCCACCTTAGATGGCCGGCTGGCCACATCTCCACCCATCTGGCTGGAAAACCGTGCCGCTCTCACTGTTGTCATGGCAAGCAAAGGTTATCCTGGAGACTACGCCAAGGGTGTGGAGATCACAGGTGAGTGTGGAAAGCCAGAGGCTGAGTCACAGTGTGATGAGGACTGCCCCTAGCGATCGCCTGGCTCGCTCTTTTCTAAGGTGTCCACTGTCAAACTCCTCAGGGGTTTTCTTTCTTTTCTGTCCGTTTTTGGAGGTGGGGAGTGGTTGGGCCACACCCAGTGGTGCTCCAAGTGTTTCTGGCTCTCTGCTCACAAGTAAGCCCTGGGGGTGCTAGCGGGACTCTGGTGGTCCCCAGGCCTTCAGCCCTAACCCTAACCCTGGCTGCCTGTACTATCCTTCCAGTCCACTTTTTGAGGATTTTTAACATCACTGTGTTGTTTGTGACATGCACATTCTAATACCCAGAGCTGCAGCTTTGGTGTTGGGTTGGGCGCTGCCCAGCTCGGTTTTCAGGGGTCATCCCTGGTGGTGTTCGGGGGGCTATAATGCAGTGGCAGGGACTGACTCTAGGCCTTGTGCTTGCAGAGCACCTGCTCCCGTCCCCCAAATGCCTGTGTTTAGGGTCCAGCTCTCCCTGTTTCTTCCCGCTCAGGGAGCCTGAAGCATGCTGGTCAGGTTCCAGGAAGCCCCCGACACCTTTCATTGCCGCCCTCTGAGACCCCAGAGACGGCAGGGCAGATGAGGTTCCCAGCGATTGTCAGCTGGCAGCCAGCTGGGATCCCAGGATAGTCGGTGGGTGGGCCATGGCATGACCCCCCTGACGGATTGGGAAGCACTGCAGAGAGATGGGAATCTCCAGCTTACGGGCTGCGGCATACAATTCCAGCGCTGTCAGTGATTTTGAGCAGTGTGGCTTCAAACTCATGTTCTGACACACAGGTTCTTCCAATAACTTGTACTTGTATTTTGTCTCAGGGCTTTCTTAGTATTTTCTCTTTAATAGCTTGCTTGTAAGAATACGGTAACATGAAGTGCGTGGTCCTAGCTAGTTATCTGTTGGGATATCCACCACAGCAGGTGATTGGGTTGGTTTGGAGGTTAATCAGAAGTCATGGTCACGGTTTCAACCTAAGTAGGTGTGGGGGGTTAATACCTGTGCACCCCCGTTGTTCAGGGATCAGCCGTAGAGGAGGTATGGCATTTAGCTAAGCAGTGGTAAATAATGTGGTTGAAAATGCCAGATGGGCAGAGTGGATAGCACAGCAGGTAGGGTGTTTGATTTGCACACAGCCAACCCAGGTTCAATCCCCAGCATCCTGTGTGGTTGCCTGAGCCCACCAGGAGTGATTCCTGAGTGTAGAGCCAGGAGTAGAGCCTGTGCCTGGCTGCTGTGGCCCCAAAACAGAACAGCCCTTTAAGCTGTGTTCCAGGTCCTGCTACCTTTTTTCTTTTTTTCTATTTTTGTTCCCCCTTTTTTTCTTGATACCTCTTGAATCACATCCATGACAGTGTGGGAGGAACAGCTCGCTGCTCTGTGTTTTGGGGGTCATACTGTGGTGCCTGTGGCTCACTCCCTAATACAGAGCATGCACTTCCGCCTTGTAAGGTGTCGCCCCAACCTGATTATATTTTTTCAGCAACTTTATCTGGAAAACTGAGTTTTTTGTTTATTTTTTTTAAAGTAATGAAATCTTTTTTTTTTCTTTAAAGAAGCTTTCTGCAATAAAATCAGGCTTTATTTTATTCATTGTTGTAGAGGGGCTAATTTTTGGTTGTATTTTAGCTTGACTTGTGAGGAGGGAATAACTTTGAGTCTCAGGTTTTTCAGCACATGCCTCCTGACCGTATCATTAAGTCAGTGCTGCGTATAAGACACTTGTTTTCTTGGAAAGATTTAGTTCCGTGAGGTGAAGATTTGAGGGGAGGGAAAAAAAGATGAAACTGCCAGTAACGTGACAAGCATTCAGTACTGTTTTGACAAACGATGCTGACGTGTCCATGGCATTTGCTCTCTTCCAGGCCTCCAGGAAGCGCATGCCTTGGGGCTGCAGGTGTTCCAGGCGGGCACCGCCCTCCAGGGTGCCAAGGTGGTAACGAACGGGGGGCGAGTCCTCGCTGTGACTTCCATTCAGAAAGATCTCATCTCGGCCCAGCAGGAGGCCAGCAGAGGGTTGGCGACTGTGGCCTTCGAGGGAGCCGTTTACAGGAAGGACATCGGTTCTCGCGCCATAGCATTCCTCCAACAGACCAGGTAAATCCCGCTAACCTGGATGAAGGCAGCCCAGCCTCAGAGTAGCATCCACAGACTCTGGAGAGAAGTCTTATGACAGGGGTTTCACTCAGAAAGAGCACTTGGCTTGCACGTGTAAGGCCCTGAGTTCAGTCCTTGACACTGGCCCCAAAGAGAAGAGAAATCTGTTAGCTCTGCCAACCCACTGATCGCTCTGTATTTGGACTGAGTCAAAACTAGGTACAAAGATACTTAAGGGGCCCGAGCAATAGTCCACCAGGTAGGGCGTTTGCCTTGTGTGGGGCCGGCTCGGGTTTAATCCCCAGCATCCTAGCCCACCAGGATACTTCCTGAGTGCAGAGTGAGGAATAACCCCTGAACACTTCCACATATGCATCACCCTCCCCATCCTCACCAATAAAAGTATTCAAGTGAAATTAGGGTTAATAAAAACTTGATGGCAACTTTGCATTTGAGAAGTTTAGCAAAACTATGGCAATAGTAAGGATTCTTTCTTACACGACATACATTAGCTATATGTTGATTTGTCTGTTATTCCCAAGCGATGGAGATGTGTACCTGGTGTAGAGCAGACTGGCAGCCCACACACATGCACACGTACTTGCAGGGCAGGGGGGGGTGGTAATTACTTAATTTGTTACACATATCATGGGCTGCAGCCAACCTGGTCGAACCACTTTATAATTTACTTCATTTTCTCATCCGGGTTCGATTCCGCCGCCCCTCTCGGAGAGCCCGGCAAGCTACTGAGAGTATTTCACCCGCACGGCAAAACCTGGCAAGCTACCCGTGACATATTTGATGTGCCAGACACAGTAACAACAAGTCTTACAATGGAGACGTTACTGGGCCTGATCGAGCAAATCGATGAACAACGGGAGGACAGTGCTACAGTGCTACTATCATGGTCCTTGGTTTTATCAAAAAAATCAAAATGAAAAGTAGCAATCGTTAATTTTGTAATTTAATTGGATTATACTGTAAATATTGAGACTCTTTGTCACTACGTGAACTGTATTTGTGATTCCTTACTCATTACTGATGTGGCTAGCTATTCCTTCGAACAATCAATAAATTACTACTTGAAATGTGGACGTTTTGATTTCTTAAGTAGATACTACATTTAAGACAGCTCTTTTTTTCTATGTGTGGTACCAGGGAACAAGCCCAGGGCTTCATCCATGAGACATACACTCTATTACTGACACACATCCCCCAGCCCTGGAGCGATAGCACAGCGGGTAGGGCATTCGCCTTACACGCGGCCAACGTGGCCGACCCGAGTTCGATTCCTCCGCCCCTCTCGGAGAGCCCGGCAAGCTACTGAGAGTATTCAATATGCCAGACACAGTAACAACCAAGTCTCCAATGGAGACGTTACTGGGCCCGCTCGAGCAAATCGACGATCAACGGGAGGGCCTTTACTTTACTTTACTTTATCCCCCAGCCCTGATTGGCAGATTTCTAAAGTTTTAAACTAAGAGCTGGGGGGGTGGGGAGGGGGGGTGTCTTGCCATGCACACAGACCCAGGTTCAATCCCTGGCATCCCGTTTGGTCCCCCAAGCACCACCAGGAGTGATTCCTGAGTGCAGTATTAAGAGTAGCCCCTGAGCACCACTGGGTGTGGCCCCAAACCCCAAAATCATAAGAAACTGGGATGGGGAGTTAGTTCAAAGGGCTGAGTGTGCTGCTTTGCACACAGAGACCCATGTTCAGTTCCTGTCACATCGGTTCCCCCCAGACACAATCAGGAATGACCTCTGCACACCACAAGGTGTGACAAACAAAATCTTAGGGCCAGAAAGATATGGTAGTACATCAGGTAAGGTGCTTGCCTTGCACATAGCAGGCCCAGGTTTGATCCCGGCCCCCTGGTTCCTGCAGTGTGATCCCTGAAAGCAGAGTCAGGACTAAGCCCTGAGCACACACAGGTATAGCCCATACCACCCCTCCCCCACCAAAAAGAAAAAATACTAATGAAACTGCTATGCCAACATTTTCGATTTTAGTATTTTAATTGGGGTGTACCCTCTGGTGCCTCTCAGTGCTCTGGTGATGCTCCTGGCCATGAAAGCTTTGAGGTTCTGCAGTGCTTGGGCTGCCAGGCCACTCCATACTTGTCAGAGTGTAGAGGTTTCAACAAACACAGGTGGCTGTGCTAGCCAGGTTGAAAACAAAGATTTCACTAGCTAGAACTCCTCTAGCGAAGCTTTGATGCTGGCCTCACTGGGGTGGGGGGAGGGGCATGCACTGCCAAATGTCTCAGCTTTATTTGTACCTTAACATCTTGTTTCTAGTAAAACTTCATGTATCCCAGTAAGCCAAAGTTGCTGGTTCTCAAGCTTGCCGTTCACTAATGTGGTCCCCAACATGTTCTACAGCGAAGATGATTTTTTGAAGAGCGTATTGTCTAGCTTATTCTTAATTATAAAGAAACTAAAGCTATAAGGGTAGAATTTGCTCTTGTCACCAGCAGCTCAGCTTAATTATCTCAGGATTCCTACGAGAGAGAGAGAGAGAGAGTGTGTGTGTGTGTGTGTGTGTGTGTGTGTGTGTGTGTGTGTGTGTATGTGTGTGTGTGTCCTCATGCGCAGCCCTCTCAGAACATATGGTTTCCCACTGAGTTGTATCCTCTGCTCTGTAATCCTAATTTCTATAAAGTGGTGGTGCCAGGGATTGAACCCAGGGCCCTCATGGGCAAGGCATGATTCTCCACTCACCCACACCCGTGGGCCCTGTTACTTTTGGGCTCAGTTTCAACATTCCTTCCCACACCAAAACTGAACAGAGAATGGTGGATGGAAAAATACCAGTCTGTTAAACTAGCTATGAGAAGTATTTTGGGGGAGTGGAGCGGGGAGTTAAATTAGAGGAACAGTTTTCAGTAGAGATGAGAAAATTAAGTAAATTATAAAGTGGTTTAAATAAACTTCAGTTCCCCGGGCCTGCCCTAGACAGAGGAATGAGAATTCATGGACAGGATGGCACCATAGGGGATATAAAAATTATTAGGAATGTCTTCTGCTTTAAATAATACTTTAAATTCCCCAGGCACGCAGTTTATTGTTGTTTTTTGTTTTTTAACTCTCTAGGGGCATGACCTATAAGGATTCTGGTGTCGACATTATAGCTGGAAATACGCTAATCAAGAAAATTCGTAATTTTGCAAACAGAACCTCCAGACCAGGTATATTCTAGCCTCCTCTGCTAGTTCTTGAGCTGGCAGACATTATAAACTGATAAATGTTTTATATTTTACTGGGGGAAAATATAAATGCCAGATTAATGCCCACTTGTTCTAAGTCTTTGCCAACCCTTGTCCAAATTTGCTTCCTTGTCTCCTAATACTAAGAAAAAAGGCTTTTTTTTTTTCCCTTTTTTTCAATTTTGGCCCAGACCCAGCTGCGCCCAAGGGCTATGCCTGACTCCAAACTTGGGGGACTATGCAGTGCTGAGGATGAAGCCCAAGCCTCTCAACGTGCAGAGCATGTGCTCAGCCCTGGAGCCAGCTCCTTGGCCAGGAAAAGCTATTATCCAGGATGCCAAACTCAAGACGGAGGCCTGCTTCTTTAATATTTGATCACGTTATTTGTCAGTTCCTTTTGGTCCCCTCCCCTGCTCTGAGGCAAACTGGCTTGTTTTCACTGTTACTACTTGAGAGCAGTGGAGATCTTCACCTTCAGTCTTCCTTTCCCCAACAGGCTGTGATGTGAATCTCGGAGGCTTTGCCGGCCTCTGCGATGTGAAAGCAGCTGGTTTCAAGGACCCTCTTCTGGTCAGTGGAACAGACGGTGTTGGAACTAAACTGAAGGTAAAGCAATCAGTGTCGTGAGTGTGAAAGGGGGGAACTGTGTGCGGAACTGAAGAGCCACACTTCAATAAAGAGCCATATTGTGCCACTGCAACTCCTGCCCATTATCTCCTTGTTTGTTTTTGGGGCCACACCTGGTGATGCTCAGGACTTATACTCCTGGCTCTGCTTTCAGAGATCAGTGCTGGTGGGATTGAGGGACCATATGGGGTGCCGGGGAATGAGTCCGGGTCAGATGTGCACAAAGCAAGTGCCCGACCTGCTGTACTGCCCGCACGCAGGCCCATCGGCTCGTTTCTGACAATGCTCTGGAGGTTGTGTCCGCATGGAAATCTTAAGGGAGTTCTTGAGTCGTGGGCCAAGTCCCACGCTTCACAGATGTGAAACCCTGGCTTTGTTCCCCAGCGCTGCACACAGAAAGGAAGAAAAGGGAGAAGTGAGAGAGATAGTGCAGCAGGTAAGGCACATGCCTGGCACATGCCCTCCGTGAGTTCACTCCTCCACATCCCAGATGGTCCTCTGAGCACCACCAGGAGTAAGCCCTGAGCATCGCTGGGTATGAACCCAAAAACAAAACAGAAACTTAGAAAGGAGGAAAGGGATCGGGAGGTGCTTCTCTTATGCCAGGGTCTGTGCTGTCCCCTGCAGATTGCCCAGTTGTGTAATAAGCACGACACCATTGGTCAAGATTTGGTGGCTATGTGCGTGAACGATATCCTGGCCCAAGGAGCAGAACCCCTCTTCTTCCTTGATTACTTTTCCTGTGGAAAACTTGACCTCGGGACAGCTGAGGTTGTCATCGCTGGAATCGCTAAAGCGTGCGAAGAAGCTGGGTGTGCTCTGCTTGGTACGGTCCCTCCATTTCCGCCTCCTGCCCTTCCTAGTGTGTCAGCTCTGTGTGCAGTGGCCGTCAGTGCCCGTCTAAGGAGCCGCAAGTGTCTTTCTGACGCCCCCTGGGACACTTGGCCCTGGTACAAGGGTTTCCTCTCCCTGACTCCCACTCTGGGACTGACGCAAGACTTTGTCTTTGCCCTTGTCCTTGACCCACCTATTCCCACCCATCTTTCTGGGTCACTGCCTCCAGACAAGACAGGGGTTCTCCTGACTAGTATGACAGTAGAGGCCTTTGGGTGCCAAATCCTGACCTAGGCCCACAAGAAGGGGAGAGAGTGTGGGACCAGGAATGTAGCTCAATGGGGGCATTTGTGCCTTGCACGTGGGAGGGCCTGGGGAGCAAGCTGCAAGGCTGGGCCACATGCTGGACATTACAGGCCCCAGCAGAATCTCCAGCCTTTTGGGGCCCCTGGCACCACTGGGGAGGCCTCCCACACACTCCAAAAATAGAATGGAAAAAAATACAGGGCTGGAAAGATAATACTGCACTTAGAGCATTTGCCTTGCATGTGGCCAATCCATATGGTCCCTTGAACACCACCAGGAGTAGTTCCTGAGTGCAAAGCCAGGAGTAAACCCCTGAGCATCTCTGGGTTTTGCCCAAAGACAAAAAAAAAACTGTGCCTAGACTTTATAAAAATACTAGCTTATCTAAACTTGAATTATGGTTATAAAAATACTAGCTTATCTAAACTTGAATTATGGTCACTGGACAAATATCAACCCAGAATAAATTTTATTTTTTTCCATATTTTAGAATTTACGTTTGCTGCCTAGATTTCCAGGTTGTTCACACAATATGGTCCCTGATCTGAATGATGGATGCCTTTTAGACCATGGCCTTGGAGTTTGGCGGTCCTGGGAAGTGACGTCTCTCAGCTGCTACCATCATGTGGCAATTCAAGAGATTCCAAGGGGAAAAAAGAGAGAGATTCAAAGGAACAAATGAAAGTGTTTCTCTTTTTTTTTTTTTTTATGATTTTTGGTTTAGAACCACACTTGCTCGTGCTCAGGGGTTACTCCTGGCTCTTTATTCAGGAATCACTCCTGGCGGACTTGGGGAAGCACATAGGATGCCAGGGATCAAACCCAGGTTGGCCGTGTGCAAGACATGTGCCCTTCCTGCTGTCCTGTCTCTCCAGCCCAAGGGAGGGTATTTTCGAGGGCCAGAGAGATAGCCCAAGGGGCTGAGCGCTTGTATTGCACAAAGGAGACTTAGTTTTGACTGGGAATACTTCCCCAGCACAGAACCAGTAACATCTGAGCACACTTGGTTTTGTTTGTTTTTCCTTTATTTTTGGATTACACCTGGTGATGCTCAGCGGTCACTCCTGGCTCTGGGCTTAGGAATCTAACCCAGTCAGCCACCTGCAATGGCACGCCCACTGTGCCATTCTGACCCAAAAAGCACTTCTGAGACTGTCGCTAAAATGACATCTTGAGCCAAGCTCTCGTTTCGTGAAAGTACTTTACAGTTTGGGAGAAAAGGGGCCGCTCCCAGCAGTGCTCTGGGGGCGCGGCAGGCCCAGGGATCCATCATGCAAAGAGTGAGTGCTTGCTTCTGGCGCCGTCCCCCCAGCACCTTTGGACCTGGAATGAGTGGGCGGCATTCAGGCTTCCCTCATCTGATCGCCGTGTCCTCTGGAATCATGGCTGGCCACATGGAGTCCTCTTGGGCAGGCGGGGGGTCTCCACAATACTGCCACAGAGCACGTGTCTGCCGCCCTGCCAGGCCTAGGGTGGGTGATGCGCGGTCTTAATCATGTTTTCTTCTTGCCAGGCGGGGAAACAGCAGAAATGCCTGACATGTACCTGCCCGGAGAGTATGACCTCGCGGGCTTTGCCGTGGGCGCCGTGGAGCGGAATCAGCAGCTCCCGCGCCTGGACAGCATCGCTGAGGGGGACGTCGTGGTCGGTGTCGCTTCGTCGGGCCTTCACAGCAACGGGTTCAGCCTGGTGAGGAAGATCGTGGAGAGATCTGCCCTCCAGTACTCCTCTCCAGCGCCTAGCGGTTGTGGGGCCCAGACCCTAGGTGAGCACGCTCAGGCCACATGCTCCAATGTCCCCTGCCACATGGATGTTTCACCAGGAACAGTGTTGCAGATGACGGGATCTTCTACAGATGGGGGGGAGGCGGTAAAAGAAAAGGGAGTGGATTAAATTAAGGAGAAAAACTCAATGTCTGGGCTGGAGTGATTGTACAGCAGGTAGGACCCAGATTTGATCCTTGGCATCCCATATGGTCCCCCCGCATGCACTGCTAGGGGTAATTCTTGAGTGCAGAGACAGGAGTAACCCCTAAACATCTCTTTTGAAGAGCAAAAGAAAAAGTCTCCAAGGAAGTGCAGAGAGAGTGCCTCCCTGGAGCACGCCCTGCCCTCTTCCTGCCCTGCACCACACGTGCTTCCCTGAGCACCGTCAGACCCAAGGAGGCCTTGTGCAAGGCCAGCACCCTACCTGCTCTTCTCTCTCTCTGGCCCCCTCTGTGGTATCTGTATATTTGTGCCTCTGTTGTCATCTTCCCCCTCTCGTCTCCAGGGGACTTGCTACTGACGCCCACCAGAATCTACAGCCGCTCCCTGTTACCTGTCCTATGCTCCGGACGCGTCAAGGCCTTTGCCCATATCACCGGTGGGGGATTGCTGGAAAACATCCCCCGCGTCCTCCCTCAGGCACTAGGAGTACAGTTAGGTAAGCCTGCTAACAGGAACTTCCATTCAGAAAAACGGCTTGCGGCGGGGGGGAGGGGGGGGGGGGGGGGCTTGGAGTGGGACCAGAGCCGTAGTACAACAGGTAAGGTATTTGCCTTGCACGCAGCCAACCTGGGTCCACTCCCTGGCATCCCATATGGCCCCTTGAACCAGGTGTGGCCGAAAAACCCAAAAAAATCTCAGTAAACTAGTTTGGGGGGGTGTGCAATTATGGGAGAAATGTCTATGGGCAAATAGTGCACATGGGATGGCGGGTGGAAAACTTAGAAGCAGTAGGTGACTCCTCCTTCCCTTCCCTTTTTGTTGCTGCCACAACGGGGATCACAGCCGACCGTATGCTCACTGGCGGTCACCCGCTTTGGTCGTGGGGGTCATGGACAGCACAGCTGCCAGATGGGCTCGCTGTGTGCAGTGGCTCCACAGAGCATACAGGGTCTGACACCCACAAAGCACATGAGAGCCCTGAGCGTGCCCCAGGCCCTGAGGAGAATGGGGTGGCTTTGGAGGGTGGAGAGTGGGAGAGGCATGTGATACAAGGCGAGTGGGAGGGTCCCGCCCAGGCAGGAGGCAAGGTGGAGAGAGGGAGAGGTGGCATGCACGCAGGGGTGAGGAGTTCCTAGAAGGGGAGAGGGAGAGGGAGAGGGAGGTTCCTGCCCAGGCAGGAGGCAGGGTGGGTAGAGGGAGAAGTGGCATGCATACAGGGGTGAGGAGTTCCTGGAAGGGGAGAGGGAGGGTCCTGCTCAGGCAGGAGGCAGGGTAGAGGGTGGGAGAGATGGTCATGGGGCACGCAGGGGTGAGGAGTTCCTGAGTGGGGTGGGGGCGGGGGGGGGGAAAGGGGGGTGAGGAGTTCCTGAAAGGAGAGAGGGAGGGTCTCACCCAAGCAGGAGGCAGGATGGAGAGTGGGAGAGGTGGAATGGGGCATGCAAGGGTGAGGAGTTCCTGGGAGGAGCAGGCACGGTGGCCTCTCCAAGACAGATGGGGTTTAAGAGACGCCAGGGGTCAAGGGGCTGCTCTGCACACATCTGACCCCAGGTCACTCCTGACAGCACTTGGGGGTCCCCTGAGCACCTCTGGGTCTGGCCCCAAAGCAGAAGCAAAGTGGGCTCGCCCTTGCAGTGGGCAGCATAGCTGGTGCAGCCCAGAGTGTTTCTGAGTTGGTCCAGAGGCAGCACAGTGAGGGAGGGCGGTGCGTCCCGCAAGGAAACTCAGGGAGTGGGTGACGGGGAAAAAAGTGAATCTAAACTCCAGCCTCGGAGACTGCATTGGTACAAGGAAATGGCTGGGGTTGGGGGCGAGAGGCAGGCCCATCTCTGTTCTCACGGACTGTGCCTGCTCTCCGCGTCACCAACGTGTGGCCCAGAGGAGCAGACGAGACGAGATGGCAGCAAATCAGGGCTTCTCCCAGTGAGGTCTTGGGGGCCCACTGAGGCAGCCAGCCAGGGAGGGGCTGAGGCGAGGAAAGTAACCGGGACCTAATGCTGTTACAGAGGCTGACTGTTCTCCCGCTGTTCGATGTGGGCTGGACAGGAGCCTGAAGAGGATGACCGGCCTGGGTTAGATCCCCAGCACCCCACAGGGTCCCCTGAGCACTGCATGGTGCAGCCCTAACCACCCCCACAAAGAAAAAGTCAGGTTGCCGAGTGCTGCTATGGCCGCAGGGTTGGGAGTGCGAGTGCGCCGCCTAGGAGGAAAGGGGTGCGGGGTGGAGGGGCGGATGGCCGGGGATCCAGTGCCACGGTGCAGGCCAAGCTGAAAGCGAACTGCCCTCCAGTGAGGCTGCACAGAACCTTCACAAGTGTTGGCTTCTTCAGACAATTGAAACCCCAGGCTGGGAACCAGGATGATAGTACAGCAAGTAGGGCATTTGCCTTGCACATGGCTGACCCAGGTTTGATTTCTGGCATCCCACATGCTCCCCCAAGCACCGCCAGGAGTGATTCCTCAGTGCAGAGCCAGGAGTCAGCCCTGAGCATCACTGAGTATGACCCAAAAAGGAAAAAAAAATATTAAAATTTTTAATAAAAGGGAAAGAAACCCCGGCCAGGGCTGGGGAGCAGGCGGAGGGGTGCCATAGCTGCTCTGCAGTGGATGGCTGTGCTGGGGCACCCCCACCCTGAGCTGCCCGCCTGGTGCCCTGCACGCCCCATGGGGTCACCCCGGGGCACCAGAGGCCGAGCCTGCAGCCACATTCCTGAGAGCTTTGACTTACACAGATGCCTGTGTCCCAGTAAAAAGGAAACTTAGTCCCCAAGCCCTGCCTCTGGGGTTTCTTCCTGGAATCCAACTTGGAGCACAGCCTTGAGCAAGGACTTACTGGCCTTGAAGCCACAGCTCCTCCTCCTGCTCCTGAACTGCTGGAACACTGCCCTCGCCAGCCTGACTGCTCGGCAGATTGTTTGTTAACGTGAGATCGGAGGGGCCAGAATGATAGCACAGCGGGAAGGGTGTATGCCTTGCACGCAGCCGACCCGGGTTCGATTCCCAGCATCCCATATGGTTCCCCGAGCACTGTCACGAGTGGTAACTGAGTGCAGGGCCAGGAGTACCCCTGTGCTTCGCTGGGTGTGACCCAAAAAGGAAAAAAAGGAGATATGAGTTCAGTGACCTACTGTTTGTCTGTCTTGCCATTGCTGTATATTATTCTGTTATTTTATATTTAATGTGTATCTGCTAGTCATGATAGCATTTTTGGGAAAAAGAATATTTGATTTGGGAGGCCAGAGAGATTGCTCAGCTGTTCCATCCCCAGCTCTGCATGATCCCTGGGGCACAGATCTGGGAGTAAGCCCCTGAGCATGCTCAGAAGACCCAAATTGGGGGGTGGGGGGGAGGAAAAAAAAGGAGTATTTGTTTGTTTGTTTGTTTTTCCCCAAAATAGATGTACCACTACTTGGTTTGGTTTGCTGTTGCGGTGGTGGTGTTGTGGTCTTTGGGGTGGGGGGTTTGGGCCACACCTGGCTGCTGGGGGCTACTCTGGCTCAGGTGTTTCTCCTTGCAGTGCTCGGGGAACGAGCAGCGTAGGAGATCAAACCTGGACCTCCTGCCTGCAAGGCAGGACCCCTGAGCTCTTTCTCCAGCCCTTCACCATTAACTTTTAACTATCGAAAGAATAGTGGGTCAATCTTTTGATCTCATTTTTTTTTAAGTGGGCATTTACCAAGTAGTAGAGAATGGAATTAAATCTCATAGGGTGGTAGGTTCATAGGCATGTAATTACTTTTATAAATTATGTAAACTCCAGGTCCAGAGAGAGGGCTCAGACCGCTGAGCTCCTTGCTTTGCTGGTAGGACACTCAGGTTCAAGCCCCGGAACCACATGGTCCTGAGCAGAGCTGGTAGTGACCACAGAGCACTGCCAGGTGCCCCCTCCACACCCCCCAAAATAAAGATATACAAGGTTTTTGGGGTTGGGAGGTTTGTGTTTTTGCCTCACCCACAGTGCTCAGAGCTTAATCCTGGCTCTGCACTCATGGATCACAACTGGTGGGGCCCTGGGGTGCCAGGGATTGAACTAGGGTCAGCCACTTGCCTGCAAACACCCTCCCAACTTTGCTGTCGCTCCAGCCCTTAAACATTTTATCTGGCATACCCGTCCCTGACTGTGGCCTCATCCTTGGGTGCATTTTCATCCTACTTCATCCCGGCTACACAGTGTGCCAGCCAGACTGGAACTGAGCCACAGGCACAGCGAGTCAATTCAGAGACTTCTAAAACCCCAACTAATGCAGCCCAGAACTTTAACTGATCGTGAATACTGGCCACTGGTTCCAGCGAAAGCCTTCTTTATTTTTAGAGGGTGGTGGGGGAGGTTTCAGTCACGTCCGGCAATGCTCAGGGGTTTGTCAAGGCTCTGCACTCAGGAATTATTCCTGGTGGTGCTCAGGGGATTGTGTGTGATGCCAGAGATGGAACCCAGGTCTGCCATGTGCAAGGCAAATGTCCTCCCCGCTGTCTTATCACTCCGAAAGTCTTAATGTCTAGTACAGGTGGATCCAAAAACACGTCTGGAATGCTAGTTTATGGTTGTATCACTGCGTACAGTACTGTGGCTTACAGTGAATTTCCTTGTTTCGGACTTTCACTATTTTCATCCTTTGTACAAAACGGCAGGTGAGTTAATTCACCACCTATGCCCATTGCAGATGCCCGGGCCTGGAAGATCCCTGCGGTCTTCTCCTGGTTGCAGAGGGAAGGACGTATCTCTGAAGAGGAGATGGCCAGGACCTTTAATTGTGGTATCGGGGGCGCCCTCGTGGTGTCAGAGGACCAAGCAAAGCAGATCATTCAGGAGCTTGAGAAGCAGCAGGAAGAGGCCTGGGTGATCGGCAAGGTGGTTGCCCGTCCTGAAGGTAATTGCTCCTAAGGGTAATTGCTCCTCGGATAACACTCTGAGGTCAGAGACTTTGCTTAAAGAGAACTGGGTCCCGCCCATCCTTCAGGCCAAAGAAGGGGTCCCAGCCATTCCTGTCCAGAGCTTGACCAGTGTCGGGAAAGCGAGCCAGTAAACAACCAGCTCAGAGAGAGAAGGGGAGCAGAGGGGGGACACAGTCTGCCAGTCTCCCGCATGACCACATGGTGACCGCGCTGTCTTAGCCGATGTCTGTCTCGCTCGGCCCAGAAGCCCTCTCTGGTTCCCTGGGAATGTGTGCTAGTGCCAGTGGCCTGCTTTGTGGCTCTTGTCCTCCGTCCGAGGAGGAACGGGTTGGCACTCTTACGGGCATCTGGAACAACTGGGGCCCAAATGGGCAGCGTGGGTGGGGGATAGCCCTGCCAACCTCAGTAGCAGAGGGGGGATGCCTGTCAGCCACTTCTTTCCCTGTGTACATTTCACCGCCATTCCAGGCAGGCTGTCAAGGCTCTAGAGCCCGTGGCCTTCTCTTTCTCAGCATCTTAGAGCATGTCCTCAAGTGGCCTGGCTTGGCTCTCACGCCTGCTCACGAGTCCAGAGGCCCTGGGCCATGTCGTGCACGGAGATTTGGGGGTAAGGGGGCTGGATCTCAGGCAGCTGTAGTCAGGGAGTCACTGCATGCACGGTGGCAGCAATGTGCTGTAGCTGGAGTGGAAGGCGACCCTGGATAATGCCAGGACAGGCATCTTGGCTGGCTCTGCCCACGGAGAGCAACCCTTCGAATGTGGCATTCCACAGTCTCCATAAATTGCTTTGTTTGCATTGCACTGTGATTGCGAGCTCACGGTTGTTTGAAATGCAGGTTCTCCTCCTGTGATAGTCAAGCACCTGATTGAAACCATGAACATGAACAGCACCGTATCGGGAAACGGGGCCCCAGTGGCTAATGGCATCCTGAGACCTGACAAGGCCAGAGTGGCTGTCCTGATCTCGGGGACAGGTGAGAAGCTGAGCCTTGAGCCAGAACTGTCAGTGTTCTCTTCCCCTCCCCCATCCCGCCAGGAACCCTTAGGTCTGAGGCCCCCTCAGTGGCGGGCCAGGTAGAGGATCATGGAGGAGTTTGTTGGTGTATGGCCTTCCTGGTTCTTCCCAATTCCTGGGAATAGGAGGCAGATCCCAAGGGGACAGTTAGTAGACAGAGAGAGAAACTTTGGACCAGAGCAGTAGTAGGACATTTGCCTGCACCTGCCAACCTGGATCCATCACCCACCAGTCCCAAGTCCTGCCAGCCGTGATCCGTGGGCATAGCCAGGAGTAAGCCCTGAGCACAGCCAGTCGTACCCTCCACCCACCCGCCCCCTCCCCCCCCCCCCCCACAAAAGGGAGGATCAGAGCAATAGTACAGTAGGTAGGGAGCTTGCCTTGCATACAGCCAGTTTCGATCCCCAGCATCCTGGATGGTCCCCCAAGCATGATCACAAGTGGTTCCTGAGCACAAGTCAGGAGTAAGCCCTGGCCACCGCCACAAGAAAGGGAGAGGGAGACAGAAGACAGGCAGAGAGAGAAAATTAGGAAGCATGGAGATTCCAACTGTGACTTCAACGCTTTGTATACTGTCTGGGGTGGGGGAGGTAGGGAGGAGAGAGAAGAAGAGAGAGGATTCCAGCTGTAGCATGAATGCTTTGTAGTTGAAAGGATCCTGCTGGGTAGCAGGGTGACGTCCGGGGTCAATCCAGAGGCAGTTTGGGGTGTCCATGCTCCAAGTATCATCGGCAGAGTTCCCGGTAGACACAGCTGTGCTGCACCTCAGGTCTGGCTCTGCTGCTTTGTTTTTCTGGAAGGGAAGAAGCTTCCCAGTAGTGCTCAGGAGCCCGGTGGCTTGGTGTTCAGTTCCTGGGCTGTGATGCTGGGGACCCCTTGGGGGATCTGTTGGCCCTGGGGCCTCAAGCATGCAAGGCCTGTGCCGCGCCCCTCTGCGAAACCTCCCTGCTCCCGCTCTTCATCCTTTATCCCTAGAGGGCCGGAGCTTAGAGCCTCACATCTTCTGCCAGTCTTGAGCAATCTTGGCCTTCCCTTGGTCAGAAATGTCACCTATTGTGCAGGCGTCTGAGGGTACCGACAGTAGAAAGAGCACCATCTTTTTAGCAGCGGTCTGAGCCTTGTGGTGTTTCTCCCTTTTTCAGGGTCAAACCTCCAAGCTCTCATAGAGAGTACCCAGGAGCCAAGGAGCTCTGCAGAAATCGTCGTGGTGATCTCCAACAAAGCTGCCGTGGCCGGGCTAGAGAAAGCAGAAAGAGCCGGGATTCCCACCCGAGTAAGTTCCAGGGGCGGGGGGTGTGCTACACTTGCTTCCTGCTTCTCTCCATTCCTTCCTTCTTCAGAACGGGTGTGTCTATCGAAGGAAGTTATGATCTGTGTAAGGGTTTGAGCTTTAACTTGTGTTTTCGAATTCATTGAAAAAAGTGGTGCTTTCTGGGTCTGGGGAGACAGCACACGCCTTGTATGCTACCAGTCTGAGTTCAGCCCCAGTATCCCATATGGTCTCCTCAGCACTGTCAGGAGTAAGTCCTGAGCATTGCAATCTCCTCATTGCTATGAGAGCTGGAGGTTTGACCCTTTAAAAAGGGAGAAAAACAGCAAAGCTTAGAGTGCTGCAAAAACAATGGTGCTCTTTTTTTTGTTGTTACAGGTCGTTAGTCATAAATCCTATAAAACCCGGGAATTGTTTGACAGTGCGGTCGACCAGATCCTTCAAGAATTCTCTATAGATATAGTCTGTCTTGCTGGATTCATGAGAATTTTATCCGGCCAATTTGTCCAGAAATGGAACGGTAAGTGTGACTAGTTGGACACTGCACTGGGACATTGAACACAGTCTCTGGGGAGGTCAACATGCTGCTTCACTCCCAGGAAGTGAGTCCCTGAATGCCCAAAGGGACGCTGTTGTCAGCTAGCATGGTGTCTTGTGCAAAATTTTTGAGTGTCTCCTGTGTCCTTTGCTGTGTGTGCATTTGGCCATTATGGAGCAGGTGGGCATAAGGCACACGGAAATCAGCAGTCTTCTATCTGGCCCGTGGCCAGGGCACTGCATGGCTATGAGTCGTTTCCTTCCAAAGTGCCGTGACCAGCAGCCTGTGTCCACCCTCCCATGACTGCAGGTGCCGGCCCAGCTGTCAGTCAGGGGCCTGCTGCCACCAGGGCTTCCCTGGCTGAGATCCCGTTTCCTCCCACCTCTTTTCTCTTTACCCTTCGCTGGGGAGGCCCCTTGCTCTCATCCACTCATTCAAAGCAGGACATAGTGGAATTCCCTGACAGAACATGCAGCAGGTTTTAAATTCTGATACTGGGGGCAGGAGAGATAGATAAGCAAGTTGGATACTTGCCTTGCACACCCAGATTCGATCCCCGGCATCCCATAGGTTCCCCTGAGCATCGCCAGGAGTGATCCCAGAGTGCAGAGCCAGAGAAACCCCTAAGCATCACCAGACATGGCCCCAAAACCAAAAGAGTAAATAAATTCTGACACGGATGCTATGGTTCATTTCCAGGAAAGTTGCTCAACATCCACCCGTCCCTGCTCCCATCTTTCAAGGGCTCAAATGCCCATGAGCAAGCGCTGGCAGCCGGAGTCACAGTCACCGGCTGTACGGTGCACTTTGTCGCGGTGAGTACCTGTTTCCGCGGCAGCGCTGCGGGGTGAGCACTGTGCGGACTGATAGGTAAAGGGGCGGCCTTCTGCTTCCTCTTTCAGGAAGACGTTGATGCCGGACAAATCATCTTACAAGAAGCTGTGCCCGTGGAGAGAGCGGACACAGTTGCGACACTGTCAGAAAGAGTGAAGCTAGCAGAGCATAAAGTGTTCCCCGCAGCCCTGCAGCTGGTAGCCAGCGGGACGGTGCGGCTTGGGGACAACGGCAAAATCTGCTGGATGAAAGAGAAGCAAGCCGCCTAATTCGGAGAAGGGGCTGGGAGGAATCTTGCCTGTCGGCCTCAAGAACCTGGCCCCAGAGAGAAAGAGGCCAAAACAGAACGAAAGGCGCCAGAGAGATAAGGCACCTGCAGGGCCTCCCACCAGCCCTGATTCAAATCCCCAACATGTAGGTTCCCCCAAACACCACCAGGGCTCACTCCTGAGCACTGCCTGTTATATACACACACAAAGGGGCGGGGGGATACATATTTGAACTCTATAAAATGACCTCCCCAGAAGAAAGGGTAGTTTAGGACTTAGGTTTGGTTTGAATGTTTCATCTTGGGGCCACACCCAGCAATACCTGGCACTGTATTCGCCCCTGACAAGGCTCAAGGGACTGTATATGGTGCTGGGAACCTGGGTCCGCCACATTCATGGCAAGCGCCCGCCCACTATACCATCTCTTCGGCCCAGGACTTGGTTTTATGAATTGTTGAGTTTCAGCTTTTCTATGTCTAACTCCCTAGACAAGCAGTAGGGAAACTGGGAGCCATCTGGTGTCTCCATTACACTCTAATCCTCATAAAAGGTCACATTTTGTAGCTTTCTACAATTTTTTGTTTTTCCTGGCTTGGGGGCCACACCCCACAATGCTCAGGGTTTACTCCTGGCAATGCTCATGGGACGATATGGGGTACCCGAGATCAAATCCTCATAAAAGGTCACATTTTTGAAGCTTTCTACAATTTTTTATTTTTCCTGGCTTGGGGGCCACACCCCACAATGCTCAGGGTTTACTCCTGGCAATGCTCATGGGACCATATGGGGTACCCGAGATCAAATCCTCGTAAAAGGTCACATTTTGTAGCTTTCTACAATTTTTTGTTTTTCCTGGCTTGGGGGCCACACCCCACAATGCTCAGGGTTTACTCCTGGCAATGCTCATGGGACCATATGGGGTACCCGAGATCAAATCCTCGTAAAAGGTCACATTTTTGAAGCTTTCTACAATTTTTTATTTTTCCTGGCTTGGGGGCCACACCCCACAATGCTCAGGGTTTACTCCTGGCAATGCTCATGGGACCATATGGGGTACCCGAGATCAAATCCTCGTAAAAGGTCACATTTTGTAGCCTTCTACAATTTTTTGTTTTTCCTGGAAATGCTCATGGGACCATATGGGGTGCCCAAGATCAAATCCTCGTAAAAGGTCACGTTTTGTAGCTTTCTACAATTTTTTGTTTTTCGTGGCTTGGGGGCCACACCCCACAATGCTCAGGGTTACTCCTGGCAATGCTCATGGGGCATTGCTCATATGGGGTACCAGAGATCAAACCCAGGTGGGCTGCGTGTGTGGCAAACCTGAGCAAACCTGCTGTACTACTGCTCTACCCCTCTCTTTACACTTCTAATGCAGCAATAAAAGAATAAATTCCATTTAAGTGTTGTGTTTTGACTTTAGTCGCTCGTCTGGGGAGGTGGTTCAAAGGCCAGAGTACATGTTTCGCTTATGGGAGCCCCAAGTTCAGTCTCTGGCACCATATGGACCCCAAGTACCACCAGGAGCAACCCCTAAACTAAAGAATTGGCTGGGCCAAGACATTGCAGGGGTAGGGCATGTGCTACTCATCCCTGACCTGGATTTGAGGTCTGGCATCTAAAAACCAGGGGCTGGAGTGATAGTACAGGGGGTGTGCAAGACAAATGCCCAACCCAGGTTTGATCCCCAGCATCGCATATGCCCCCTGAGCATTGTCAGTTGTGGCCCAAAAATTAAACTATTTAAACAAAGAATTCAATTCAAAGAGCTAGCACAACAGGTAAGGTGCTTGCCTTACACATGCCAACACCCCATATGGTCCCCTGAGCACCGCCAGGGATAATTCCTGAGTACAGATCCAGGACTAACCCCTGAGCATCACTTGGTATGACCCACAACCTTTTTTAAAAGGCTTCATACCTCCTGTGGCTGCTTTTTTTAAGATCAGTGCATAACAAGACTAATACCCCCCGCCCCCAGAGTGCACAGGACTCCCCACTGCCTTTGGGGATACCAGCACCACAGCCAACACAGGGACCTGCACTCGACGAGCTGAGCATGGGACACCACCGCCAAGGCGCAGGCACCACAACCAGATACGCCTCAATGTGTGAGGTACCTTTGCAAGCAGCAATAAAACGGGAGGAGGGGAATGGGGACAGCAAAGTACGTGCAGTTAGTATCTCCAGTGTTCTCTGGTTTTCAGACTTCCTTGTTCATAATTCAGCAGTTTATAGCCATAGAGAATTCCTTTCACCTTGAGCCAAACAAGTGAGCAAAGCGCTTACTCCATAGTGATAGTACAATGCCGAGGGCCCTTGCCATGCACGCGGCAGAGCCAGTTTGATCCCCAGAGCCCACCAGGAGGGATCACTGAGCACAGAGTAGTAATAAACCCTGAGCACTGCTGGGTGTGGCCCCAAACCAAACTTTTCTTGAAGGTAACCACTATCCCAGTGATGCTCAGAGGCCATGATTGGAAGTTTAGGGGACTATATGTGGTGCCAGGATTCAAACCAGTCACAGAGTCCTACAAGGCAAGCACCTTAACCTTTTATTAGCTCCTTGACCCCCAAACGCTTGCCTTTTTTATTACCCTTTTTTTTCCTCTGACCAATGTTCTCATTTGTTTCTGGGGTTTTTGGTTTATTTTGCTTTGAGGCCACACCCAGGGGTGCTCAGGGCTTACTCCTTGCTGTGCACTCAGGGTTCACTTCTGATGGGCTTGGGGAACCGACTGGGGTGACAGATTCACCCTGGGTTAGACTCCTGCAAGGCAGACACACTGCTGTACTGTTGTTCCAGCCCCCTCATTTGTTCTTCAGTTATTTGTTCTCTAATCTTTGAAGAGCTCACCAGCAAATTGAGGAAATTACTGTCTTCTCTGTATTAGTACTGATCTGAATTACAACTTTTCTAGTTCCTGACCATAATTGAATGTCCTGACTTATGTCTGAGTATCTGTGTTCCTGGTGCTTTTAAGTATTAAATATTCCTCTTTATTGACAGTTCATTACCCAGATTTTAGCTGTAATTATACTATGAATTATGAATATCTACATTTATATCACTGGAGAGTTTAGGGCCTTGGAGAAAGTGTAGGGATAAAGACGCTGGCCTTTTATATATGACTGATTCGGATTCACTCTTCTGCATCACATATGGTCCTGAGCACCACTGGATATGCTCAATATTAAATCTCTAGATGGGTTAAAGAGAATTTAATTGAGCTCTAGATTCAAACACAGAACATCAGGGATACTACCCCTATGTTAATGAGTAAATGCATGTGACTGGATCCTTGTTTTGAAGACCTAAGAATAATTCTGGGTCCAGACCTGGTAGACAAAGGTTAGCATTTATTTCTGAGTTTCTCCCAGTGAGAAAACCTGTTGAAATTTATCCAACGAATGCTTCCTAAGCAAAAAGTCCAGACTGGTGACAACGAATGTGTCAAGATTGGTGGTCGCATGGAATGTTGAAGAGCATCATTCCACATGGCCCTGTACCCATGAGCATAGACCACACGTACCTCTTAGATGCCAAATCTGTAGACAGGGAAATGATGACGTCACATGCTGTAGCAAAAGGAGCATCAATGGAGAGTGTGGTACCAAGATGTAAGCTGGAAAAATTAACTAGAGCTTATGACCTAAGAAATAAGATGTTCAGTCTGTTCTTTGGTTCTCATTTCTATTAAAGAGGCCCCTGGACTTCACGAAAAGTTGTTGCAGATAAAGGAAGGATCAAAATGTGTCTGAAATAAACCCAGGGTGGTCAGAAGCAACAAAGCTGCAAAGAGTTGGGAATGGTTAGTGAAGGACAAAGGGCTTAAGGACTTCCTGCCATTGAGCCCGTGAGCCGTCAGAGGGTTCTTGGGAAGTGTTGTGTGTGTGAGTTGCCATTGAAGCAGATATATTTAAGCAGATATGTTTAAGGGGAAGGACACAGTGGGGTTTGACCTGAGTTCTATTCCCTGGCACTCATGTTCCCTGAACATCACCAGGTGACCCAGCTAAGCCCCGCACGGAATGCTCATACCCTTGCCTTAAACCACACTTAGTTCATCAACGATCTCAAAGGATCCCCGAGGGCCACCAGAAGACCTCTTGGGAAGACAAAGTGTGTTGCAGGTTAGCATTTAAGTGACAGGATTGGTACCTTCTTGTCCCTTAACACTCCATGTCCATTGTGTGGGAGTGGGTTGACAGCACTATCAGTTACCCACACTAACAACAGAAGTGTGAGTTCCATGATTGCCACTCAGTGTCTCTTTTGCAAACCACAGCACCCAAAAGGAGAGAACAAAAGGGAATGCCCTACCACAGAGGTAGGGTGGAATGGAGGGTATGGGGGTGGAGGGGATACTGGGATCAGTAGTGGTGGAGAATGGGCACTGGTGAAGGGATGGGTATTCGATCATTGTATAACTGAAACCCAAGCACAAAAATTTGTAAGTCTACAACTGTTACTGGGCCTGCTCGAGCAAATCGATGATCAACGGGAGGGCCTTTACTTAACTTTACTTTACTTACAACTGTACTCATGGTGTTTCACTAATAAAAATTTTTTTTAAAAAAGTGTGTTCCCAGATGGAGGCCAAATGTTCTGGGGAGGAATTTCACCATTTCTACAAGATTCTGTTATCTGCTGTGTGCTGGCTTGTTTCTTCACTTAGCATTAACTGCTGTACATAGTTATGTCATCTCCAGTACAATACTGAATTTTACCATAATAAAGTATCATAACTGTGATAGGCTAACCCATCCTCACATGGCCACCTGAAGTTTCTTGCCTATGCTAATCAATCATTTCCAGAGCCACAAACATTCCCCAAAGTAGTCTGACGCTCGTTTCTCAGGGTCACTCATCCAAGCTCAGTCCCACACTGGGGGGCCACCTACTAATTATCAGGTGCTGTTTATGCCCTGCAGTGTTGGGGACCACCAGGACCAATCTGAAAGTGTTTGGGACCTGCTCCCACTGGGGTTCAGGGGACCATATGGGGTTCCAGGGATAGAACCACGGTTTGTCACATGCAAGGCAAGAGCTCAACCCACTGTACTATCTCTGGCCCTCCCATGCAGGAGCCAATTAGCTAAGCAACCCCTTGCTATCACATCCAGGGGTTCAGGGAGGTCTGGAACGTACTGGTGGATTGTCACAGACTGGCTTCCACTCTCCCACTGTGGCTCAGCACCCCCGATGACAAAGGTCCAGCTTCCTCATCAAAGAACAGATGTAACCATAACAAGATTCAGGAAGGGGCTGCAGTGATAACACAGTGAGTAGGGCATTTGCCTTGCACGCAGGCGACCCAGGTTCAATTCCCAGCATCCCATATGGTCCCCGGAGCACTGCCAGGAGTGATTCCTGAGTCTATGAGCCAGGAGTAACCCCTGTGCATCGCCAGGTGGTGTGACCCCCCAAAAAAAGAAGCTTCAGGAAGATTAATCAAAATCAGCGGGGGCGAGAAGAGTTAGTTTCTGCATTTGGAGTATTACCCAGTAGTGTTTGAGGGTCACTCCCAGATATGCCAAGGACCACACAGTGCTGGGGTTTGAATCTGGTCTTCCTCATGCAGTGGGCTTCTGCCCTTGGAGCCACCTCCCAGCCCTAGAAGTCAAGATCTCAATTGCAATATTTGGCAACTTTGAATAACTGCTTTCTTCTATTAAAGAGACTCC